TCCCAATTCTACCTTACAAATCTGGCTAGACTAGAGGATGTACATTGGTACAGATAGCAACTGGAAACACAGGGAATCCAGGACAGATGACCCCTTCAGGACCAGTGGTGAGAGTGGCGATGCCTGGAGGGTGGAGGAATGTAGGGTGGAAAGGGGGGACCAATTACAAGAATCTATGTGTAACCTCCTCCCTGGGGGGTGGACAACAGAGAGTTGGGCGAAAGGAGACATCAGACAGTATAACATATGACAAAATAATAATAATTTATGAATTATGAAAGGTTCATGAGGGAGGGGGGAGGGAGGGAGAAAAATGAGGAGCCGATATTAAGGGCTCAAGTAGAAGGCAAATATTTTGAGACTGATGGTGGCAATAAATGTACAAAAGTGCTTGATACAATGGATGGATGTATGGATTATGATAAGAATTGTACGAGGCCCCAATAAAATGATTTAAAAAAAGAAAATACAAATCACAGAAATTCTGATTTCCCTATGGAATAGGTTTACTCTATAAGACACAGGGCGTTGCCAGAAGTAGCAATCTGCTCAATGGTCATGGGTTTTGTTTTCTTTGGGGTTTTTTTTTTTTTTGGAGGGTGGTGGTGTAGAGAGGATATTAAATGAAACACATAATTAAAGTGAAAATAAAAGAAAGAAATTCTGATTTGTGTTATTTTATATTGATAACATTAGCATATAAATCTACGCACTATAGGCCATTAGAAACACACAGTTGATTTTTTTCTTTTTTTCATAAACTATGGTCACTAGAGTGTCTAACTGGCTTATTTTAAAATTAAAAAGAATTTTCATTTTATTAATATAATTTTATGGCATTTTTCTTAATATGATTTCCCCTACCACTTGCTGAATAAAGTTTTAAATTATAATTTAATATAATAGGAGCTATGCTGGTTTGCTGAAATTATACTAAGGGTGGTAATAATTTTTAGGGAGGATTATTTTTTGAAACAATTTTGGAGATCATCTGGGGATGGACTATTTCACTCACTGAGGTATTTTTCCCTCGTTTCTGTGAGTCTAAACACATTTCTAGCAAAGTCCAACTAAACTGACCGACACCCTTAAACTCATAGTGCTTTATTTGTATTAACTACTGTAATCACCAAAACTGTTTATGTAGATAAGGAAAAAAAAATTACCAAAACTAAGTAACCTATGCCCAGAAAGCATTTAAGTAGAGACCATGTGTCTGTTAGTTTGTCATTATGTGCTGATTTGCGTGTTGCTGTGCTGCTGAGAGCTATGTCACTGGTATTTCAACCACCCAAGGTACCCAACTTTGAGGGAGCTTCCAACCTAAGAGTTAGGTAGGAAAAAGGAAAAGGTCGTTGACTTCTGAGGGATTAGCCACTGAAAACCTGAAGAATAATAGCAGAACACTGTTGTAAGGAACTCAAAATACAACTTTGTCAAAAATACAGGTGACCTTAATGCCATAGAGGAGTAAAGTTTTGGGGACATTCTTCTGAAATGGGGCACAACTTAAAATAAGAAGGAACTGCTGAAACATCTATTAATATTGGAACGTGGAATGATGAAGTATTAGTCAAAGGAAATTGGAAGTCTTCAAAAATGAAATGGGATGCTTAAAACTATCAATATTCTTGGAACTAGTAGGCTGAATTGCACTGATATTGACCATTTTGAGTGAACCAATCATATGGTTTCCTATGGTAGTAATGAAAACCTCAAGAGGAATAGGGTCACATTGTTTGTCAAAAAGAGTATTTCAAGAGCTACCTTAAATTACGATGCTGTCGCTGAGTGGGTAAAATGGAAACCCAGTTAAACAAGTATTATTCAAATTTACAAATCATTCACTAACACTAGTAATAAAGAATTTAACTTCTTCAGTCTGAAACTGATCAAAAATGTAATCAATAAATGCATTGGAATGCAAAAGTTGGAAACAAAAGGAAGAAATAGTAGTATTAGAAAAGATGGCCTTGGTGATAGAATACATTTGAAGATTCCATAATAGAATTTTACAAGACCAATGATGCCTTCCTTCATTGCAAATACCTTTTACCAACAATATAAATAGGAACGACACACGTGGTTCCTGCCAGATGGAATACACAAGAATCAAACTGACTACATCTATAGACAGATCATTGAGAAGCTCAGAATCATTAGGCAAAACAAGGCCAGGGACTGACCATGGATGCTCATATATAAATTCAGGTGAAAGTTGAAAAACATGAAAAAAAGTCCACCAGAGCCAAAATACAACCTTGAGTACTGGATGCATTGCACACTAATGACCTGATGAGCTGGGCAATGACATCAAAATCATAAATGAAGTAGGTAAAAGATAATTACCGAAATAGGAAAGAAAGAAAAAACCAAAGTGAATGTCAGAAGAGACTCTGAGGCTTGCTTTTGAATGCAGAGTAGCTAAAATGAAGAGATGAAGAAGTAAAAGAACTGAACAGAAAATTTCAGAGAGTAACTCAAGAAGGCAGGTTCAACAAGCTGATGCTGTGCTGAAGGAGCTCACTTTGTCTATTCCAAGAAATGTGCAGACAGCTCCCTGGCCAACCAACTGAAAAGAACCATATGTGTGCCTATTCCAAAGCAAAGTGTCTCAAAAGCATGAGGAAGTTATAAAACAGTATCATTAACAGGATTTTTTTCTTGTTCATCAATCAATGCTTTTGGAAGCAGCAGTCAAGAAATCAAAGATCCATTGCATCTGGTAAATCTGCTCCACTAGACCTCTAAGTATTGACAAAAGCAATGATGTTACTTTGAGGCTTAAGGTGTGCCTTACCCAAGCCAGGGTATTTTCAACTGCCTCATATGCGTGTGAAAATTGGACACTGAATAAAGAAAACTGAAGAATTGATGTGTTTAAAACTGAAAGGGCCATGGACTGCTAAAAGAACAAACAAATCTCTCTTAGAAGAAGTACAGCCTGACTTTAGAGGCAAGGATGGTGAGACTTGGTCTCAAATGCTTTCTACAAGTTGTCAGGAAACATCAATCAGTCCCTGGAAAAAGACATCATGCTTGGTACAGGAGAGGGGCAGCGAAAAAGAGGAAGATCCTGGATGAGATGGATTGACACAGCAGCTGCACCAACGGGCTCAAGCATAAGAACAATTGTGAGGATGGCGTAGGACCAGGTGATGTTTGTTCTATTGTACACAGGGTCACTATAAGTGGAACCAACTTCATGCCAACTAACAACATCATCATTCATAGCTCATGAGTAAAATTTTGCTCAAGATAATTAAAAAACGACTGCAGCAGTACATCAACTGGGAGTTGCCAAGCTGGATTCAGAAGGGGACATAGAATGAGGTATATCATTGCTGACATCAGATAGATCTTGGCTGAAAACAGAGAACACCAAGGAGATGCTTACTTATGCTTTATTGACTATGCAAAAGCATTGGACTATGTGGATCACAGCAAACTATGCATAACGTTGTGAAGAATGGGAATTCCAGATCACTTAATTGTGCTCATGTACAAAGTGCACCTAGACCAAGAGGCATCTGTTTCAAGAAAACAAGGACATATTACATGATTAAAAATCAGAAAGGTGTTGGTTATCGGGGTCAAATCTTTTCACCATACTCATTCTACATGTATGCTGAGCAAATAATCTGAGAAATTGGAATATATGAAGAACACAGCATCAGGATTAAAGGAAAACCTACTATCAACCTAGAATATTCAGATGACATAACTATGCTTGCTGCAAATGATGACTCAAGGCACTCAACTGATAAAGACAGACTACATTCCAACATAAAAAACAAACTCTCAAAACTCAAATAGACGTGATAATACACAGAAAAAAGATTAACACGGTTAAGCATTTCATTTTACTTAACCTCCACAAAGTTCATAGAAGCAATGATTAAGAAATCAAAATCCATATTGAATTGGGCAAATTTGCTTGACAAGACCTCTTTAAAGGGTTAAAAAGAACAAAGATGTTGCCCCCACAGGGCTGCAGCAATTTTCCCCACATGTACACACACACAAAAGAGCAAAGATGTCACTTTGAGAATTAAAGTGCATTTGCCCCAAGCCATGGAAGTTTCAATAATCCCACATGCATATAAAAGATGGATAATTAACAAGAAGATCTATGAAGAACTGGTGCATCTCAATTATAGTGTTGGCAAAGAATACTGAAAGTACCAAAGATTGCCTAAAACACAAACAAGTATAACAGTACAGCTAGAATGCTTCTGAGAAGCAAGTAAAAAGGAACTATTCAACAAGATGGAAAGGCTCAGTGGCTACAATAAGCTCAAACATTACAAAGATTGTGAGGATGGCTTCAGGATGGGACAGTATTTTGTTCCGTTGTAAATGTCTCAATGAGTCAGAAACTAGTGAGTTTTCCTTTCCTGCCTCCTTGGAGGCAGGCCAAACTCTCTCGCGGCTTCACATTCATGTTGACAAGTCACATGGAACTTTGCTGATGGCAGCAAGAGCCCTGGAACTTGAAGAGCCACGTGGAGACCCATGCCAGCACTGAGATGCTTCCACCACCACTGGATCTGAAAGCCTCTCCACCCACTGTCCTGTGATCTTCCTGCATTAGATATCATGGCATGTCTTGTGTGAGTCTGAAGAGGAATATATAGACTGATATCGGATGTATGGGCTAATATCGGACTTATGGACTATTGATCTAGACTGGGCTGTTTTCTTAATACACAATTTCTCTTTGATATAAAGCTTCACACACACACACACACACACACACACACACACAGTCAGAAACCACGTGATGGCACCTATTAACAAAAACTCCAAAGATTAGTTAATGAAGCCACAGGGTATCAAAACCAGGTAGCCTAACTCCACGGTCCAAGTTCTTCACCACTGCTATATTTCCAGAGGTATTACTTTGCAAATAGCACATAGAAAGTAGCACCTACATTTATTGTATTTATAAGTCTTCTTTGAGACCTATTTTCCTCACAATATTTCTAGAAGGAGACTTTCTATGAGATATAACTGAAATGATAAAAGTATGATCCAGCAATCTCTGAGTTGTCCATAAAGCACAATCTGTTGTCAACTATTTTCTATAACTGAAGTTGGCAACTTAGAGTGACGGTGTCAGTAAAAGTATAAAATTATTAGAAACATTTAAAAAAGCATCTTCCATTTCCTTATGGTGTAAGACCACAAGTTCCCAAACTTATCCCAAACCCCCCCCTTTTCAGAAAAAAAAAATTACTCAGCACCCTCTTAGCAGTGAAAAACATTTGTACTATGGGCCATTACCCAGGATAAAGTCTAGATACAGTATTTGCTTTTGCAGGCCCACTGGATTGTTCTAGCACCCCCAGGGGCGGTATCTCACACTTTGGGAAACACTGGTCTAGGCAGTTTCCACATCTGTCCCAGGAATCAAAGATCCCTATTATTCTGGCTCTCAATGCTTACTACAACTGGTTAAGGTGTTTACTGATAACCAAGTGTTAACTATAAGATGCCAGAAACTTGGAATTAAGAAAAGCCTACTACTTGTATCTGCCTTTTTAGCTACATAACTTTAGGAACACCAACAATGTTCTTCTCTTCTTTATCCCCTTTCTTTAAGTGAATGCATATTCTGGTGCAGTGAAATCTGGGACATGGATTTTAATTACATTTTCCAACTCACTTACAAAGGAGCTAAACCAGAAATGAGTTCAATAAAATTTTTAAAGTTTGAAAAATGTAACAAGTTAAATTCTGCCTATAAAATTAAAAAATTTAAAAGGGAACATCTTGCTCTGACTTAGAGGCAAAGCTATGGCATTTCAATCACATTGCAGCTCCACTGATCTGTGCATCTCTCTCCCATCTCTCCTATATGGTGATATTACAAATGAGTGTCGTTTCACATGCAGAGTACAGATCCTGAATTGAAAATATGAGCTGAATTGAAAATATGATCTTTGAATGATATTTCAAGATCTATACCAAAGTGCATGATATCTGTATTTCTATTAAAGACTAACAGAAGATCTAAAAATAACAATCCTCTGGCAGAGTGTTATTTTCATTTGTAGGCACCATATTTTAAGAGGGGTCAATAATAGGAGTTATGTCAAGAGCAGGGATCAACAGCTTACATTCTATATTACATGTAAAATTAAAGAAATGAGTAGGTTTAATACAGAGAAGAAATGACTCTAAGCTTTATCAGAGGTGGGGTTAAGTCCAGAAAGTATTTTTAAGAAGTGTGTAACTCCTTAAATTAAAAAAAAATTTAATTCATGTATTATAGATCCACAGGTAAAACCTGGGACAGTGGTGCAGGATGTGAAAACGTCATCTGAAAGCCTTTTAGTAAATGAAAGCAGCTAACAATAATAGATCGACAAAAAGTGGAGACTTTCCAATCACGGAAACTGGCTAGTGTCTATCTGAAGGATTGTAGAGGAAATGGATATTTTCCGTAGGCAGCAGGAATCGATGACATCTTGAGGTCCCTTTCATCTCTAATATGCCATGAGCCTCCAAAACGCTCTTTTTTGTTCTCCTTTTTTTTTCTGGCTTGATCCCCCACCCCCACCGCACACCTCCCTTTCAGGTTGCTTAAGCTTATTTAAACAGTATTTAAAGACTGAAAAACTCAAAAAACAAAAAGAAAAAAAAAACACACCAGTACAGTAGCAACTTCTATAAAACATGGCAATATTTCACATGGGTAGCCAAATTTCAGAGTTCAAGTCATTCTATACAATTACTTGCTTACATCATTTTAGTTCAACAAAAGTTTCACAGAATTTGTTATCAGGAAAGGAAAAATCATGAAATACAACCACTGTCAAAATGTAGAAAATAAGGAAGAACATTTAAATACTGGTGTTTCAATTAATATTAGTATTTTCACAAACAAAACTCCTTAATTTTAACAAGACTTTATTTCAAAACACAGAATTAAGGCAAAGGGGTGGGAATCACAGGGTTTCAGACTTTGATTCAAAAGGATTCTTTCTAGCTATGAGCCATATCGATGAATCACTTATAAGAATGAACTCCCTGACACCAGGGTTTTTAGAGATTGAAATGCTATTTTCTCAGGAGCAGCAAAATAAAGCTTTTTGTAGTAAAACAGCCCTTCTAAATCAAAGGCTTTAAAATTATTTTTTATTGTTACCTTTCCCACTCTGGAAAATCTTCAAGACTCTGTCTTGTAAACGTTACCAACCCAGTAGGTTCTACAAAAGAAATAAAAGAAAAACATACTCAAACGAAATTTTAATTTTAAGACAGATCATATATATTCAGTAAAAGAAAGGGTTCAAAACGATTATAAAACTAGTTTAAAAATACCATGCTTAGTGTTGGAATGCAATAGAAGATCAAATTAAGATAATGTCCTTACATTAGGAATCCTTCCTATAAATTAGTATGTCCCTGCTAAATAAAACTAAATAAATAAGAGCACTACACTTTAATTTGATTGCCAACACTTTTGGGTGCTAATTTCTAAAATAAATACTCTTAAGACAACAATACACAATGGATGTAGGTTATGCAATTAAGACAAAATTGAATTCAAATGAGAATTCTTTCTCAAAGAAAAGCCTTAACCTAAAACCACAGAATAGCAAATAGATACACATTTATATAACTTAGAGTAAAATGTCTAAGATTAAAAAAGAAAATTATTGGCATATACTTTGGAGTTAACATGGCTAATTATTGGGCTTAAATATGTAAGTATGTGCTCTAGTTAAAAGAAGAAATTATTGTGCTCTATTAGCTTAGAGAAGTAAGATTACATATCTTTCCAGTAGTAACAGATTTGCGAGGATGAAACAAAATTCTATTGATAACATCACACATAATTTCTGGTTAATTTTACTTATTTTTAAATTTTTCAGTTTATTAAAGCAGTGGCAAAAAACTACCAGTAAATAAGCTCACCACAAGTAATTTGCATGATTCAAACCAAAGAACAAACTGAAAACGTCAAGCCATTTTTACCCTTCTGCTTAAAAGGAAACTCGTAAGCAATAAGAAAGCTGTCAGAAACCATTATTGAGAGTGGTGGTAGAGTCACAATGGAAGCTTGACAACCATTTCATTCCTAAGGGCAAATCCACATTTCTTTTCTCTCAGTCACAAAGAATAACAACTCAAAATCAAATGGATTAGAATTCTGGAAGATGGCAGCATAAAGACCTTTGTTCTGATCCTGCCCCATAAACACAACAAGAACTACAAGGATAAAGTACTAAGTTTTGAGGAACTCTGAATAGGGAATAGAGCAGCAGTTCTCAACCTGTGGGTCACGACCTCTTTGGGGGTGAACGACTGTATTAGTCTGGGTACTTTGGAGAAACAAATCCACAGCAACTCATGTATAAGAGAGAGTTTTATGTAAAGAAAATGTGCATCATGAAAACATCCCAACCCAATGCTGCCTAAGCCCACAAGTCCAACATTAACCCATTAACCCAACACCAGTCCACAAAGTCCTCCACCTCACAAAACAGAGGCAATAATGCCGACTGCAGGAGGAAAGCTGAGTCAGTGAACGAACAAGCATCTCAGCACTAGCAGGGGTCTCCACATGGCTGCTCCAGCACCCAGGGCTGCATCGGGATAGGTCCATGTAGCTTCTCCTTGGGGATGTCTTATAGGAAGTCAATCTTGCAAGCTGAAACAGGAAACCGCCAAAGCAACCGCAACCCGGTGCAACCATCACAAAACAAGAGACCCGAGAACTAGAAAGGCGAGGCTCGCCACCCATTTATCCCTCCGCCTTTCAATTAGCCCCACATGTGATTATTGGTCAGGTGGGCATAATTAACTAACTCAACGACCCTTTCACAGGGGTCGCCTGATTCAAAGCAGTAGCAAAATTAAAGTAGCAACGAAAATTTTATGGTTGGGGGGGTCACCAAAACAAGAGGAACTGGATTAAAAGGTCACGGCGTTAGGAAGGTTGAGAACCACTAGAGTAGAAGAAAGCAATGAGGAACTGTGGATAGACACGAATCAGCTAATCAACAAGTTGCACATGGTAGGAAAGTCACTTCTCTCACCATTTCTGCCCCAACTAGCCAAGTAGGCTCACAGACAGTGAGAGAACACAAGTTACCAGAACCATCTGTTTTCCTGGCTAAATTTTGGTAAAAGCAAAATGACCCACTGTGGTTTTTGGACATCTTTTACTTCTGTTATCGGACTTGCTTCTGGCTCTGGGTCTGGCATTTGGCTTGCTTCTGCATGACCCTCAGATTTGGAACTGAACAGCAGCCGCCACTACATGAGACAAATCCTCAGTTTTGGGAGTTTCTGTGGGATGTCACACTAAATCACAGAACCCAAGCATTAGGGAGTATACTCAAGATAGGAATGACAGGGCACTAGTGAAGCAAAACCAGTGATGCTTACAGGTGTTATACAAAGAAAGGAAAACAATGTGGGAGTTCTTCAGAATAACAAAATGTAACTACCATATGACCACTCTTAGGTATATACAAAAAAGTCTTAAAAGCAGAGACTTGTACAACAGTGTTCTGCACACTGTTCACAATAATCAAAAACTGGGCACAACTTAAACCAATAGATGAATGGATATGCAAAATGTGTTATAACATTCAAGGGAATAATATTAAGCCAGTAGGTTAAATACAACCTTGATGTATTTGCTACATATTGTTAATACACAAATACAACATAGTTGGAGTTGGATGACATTATACAGAATCAAAGAAATAAACCACAAAAAGACAAATACTGGATGACTCAATTAAATAAAAGACCAAAAAAGGTAAAGATACAGAAAACAGTTTACCAGTGGTGATCGAGGTGGGAAAGAGGGGAAAAGGGGGGAGGTTAATAGCAATAGAAATTCCACATTGCAGGTTTATCTTGATAAGATAGGCTGGATAAACAATCTGGAGGAGAAAACAAGTGACCGATGGTTGCAGGGGGACATGGGAGAGAGGGAGGTGGGTAAAGGAAATGGTGTTAACAAACCCAGGGACAAGGGAACAAGTGATCCAAAATCAGTGGTGAGGAGAGTGTAAGAGGTCTGGTAGGGCTTGATCAAGAGCAATGTAACCGAGAGGAATTACTGAAACCCAAATGAAGGCTGAGCATTCTAGTGCGACAAGAATAAAGTAAAGGGAAAAATAGAGGAAAGAACTTCGAGGCAAAGGGCATTTATAGAGGTCTAAATACAGGCATGTACATATGTAAATATATTTATATATGATGATGGGGAATTTGATCTACATGCAGATATTTATAGGCTTAGGTAGCAGTGGATATTGGGCCTCCACTCAAGTACTCTCAGTACAAGAACTCTTTGTTTTATTAAACTGGCATTCCATGATGCTCACGTTCCCGACAGGATCACTGAAGACAAAGTGGGTGTATAAGCAAAAATAGTGAAGAAAGCTAATGGTGCCCAGCTATCAAAAGATATAGTGTGTGGGGTCTTAAAGGCTTGAAGGTAAACAAGCAGCCATCTAGCTCAGAAGCAACAAAGCCCACATGGAAGAAGCGCACCAGCCTGTGTGATCACGAGGTGTCAAAGGTATCAGGTATCAGGCATCAAAGAACAAAGTCTTATCACTGTGAATGAGGGGCAGTGCGCAGTGGGGACCCAGGGCCCATCTGTAGGCAACTGGACACCCCCTTACACGGGGAGGAGACGAGCCAGTCAGAGTGCAGTGTAGCAATGATGAAACATACAACTTTCCTCTAGTTCTTCAATGCTTCCCCACCCCCCAACCCCACTAAGATGATCCTAATTCTACCTTACAAATCCGGCTAGGTCAGAGGATGTACACTGGTACATATAGGAACTGGAGACACAGGGAATCCAGGACAGATGAATCCTTCAGGACCAGAGGTAAGAGTGGTGATACTGGGAAGGTAGAGGGTAGAAAGTGGGAACCGATTACAAGGATCTACATAAAACCCCCTCCCTTGGGGATGGACAACAGAAAAGTGGGTGAAGGGAGTCGTCGGTCAGTATAAGACATGACAAAATTATAATAATTTATTAATTAGCAAGGGTTCATGAGGGAGGGGGAGTGTGGAGGAAAGGGAAAAAATGAGGAGCTGATACCAAAGGCAAATGTTTTGAGAATGATGAGGGCAATAATTGTACAAATGTACTTGGCACAATATACGGATGGATGGATTGTGATAAGAGTTGTACGAGTCCCCAACAAAATGATTTTAAAAAAAGAAAGATATTCCACACTGATTAAATATAGGGGAGCTAATCCAATTATTTTAATTGTTTAAAAAAAAGGTGTACACTTGTAAATACTCGAACAGCTGCTTACAATAATGACCCATCCCAACACCCACAAAGAGCTACTGAGATTTGATTCCTTGGTTTAGAGATTTATGGTTTTGTGGGGCACTGGAGAAAACTGACCTAATAATTTGTTAAGTGCTTCTGTTCTATCTCCCTGTACATTGCCTGGAGGATCTTAAAAGCTTGCATTCATCCATCCAAGGAAAAAGTCACTATATACTTGGAGGGATAGAGGAAGAAGGAAAGTCAGGAATAGGGGGAGGGTACAGAATCTATAGCTAATTGTCTCCATGAACAACTGCTTCCTTTGCCAGAAGAACTTGAGAGTGCTACCATTACTGAACATTTTGATGAGAGAATCTACAGAAGATTCCAGATCAAAAAAGGGAAAACAAAACAATTTCAAATTCTCATTGACTGGGAATTCATGCCCATCTTGTTATCTTAAAAATGCGATCCATTGGAGTCTTCTTAAAAATCAATAGTATAGATCAGTGTTTCCCAAAATGGGTGATACTGGGGGCACTGGAATGATCCAGGATGGATACAAAGCAGGTACCTGAACTTTATCCTGGATTATAGTACAAAAGTAATTTTTAATTGCCAGAGTGTGACAGGGGGGCGGGGGAGGCAGGTGCACTAAATAATTTTTTTGGAAAAGGAATAGTAGGTTAAATAAGTTTGAGAACCTATCGTTATGTTAAATCTAAAGAAATATGTGCTCTGAGCATTATACTCTGTTGAATACTATCTATATGCAATGAAATTGATGAGGGGAACTCGAAAAATTAGACAGGAATTTATGTTAGTAAGAAAGGGACATGAAGGTGAAAACAGTATTCAACTCCAATGTAATTAGTGTCACTAAATAGTACATGTAGAAATTGATACAGTCGCTGCATCAATGGGCTCAGACATAAGAACAAT